AAATATATATATTCTTCGGGGGGAATCGTCCGGGGGGGAATTGTCCTGGGGGGAATTGTCCGGGGGGGGGAATTGTCTGGGGGAATAGTCCGGGGGGAATTGTCCGGGGGGGGGATTGTCCTGATACCCATGTACGGCAAGTATGTCACTCTATTTGTTGTGGAGTTAGGGGACTGCTTTATACCAAACGGTGTTTTCATAGGTTTACCTTTCAGGTCTTCGAGAGAGCTTTTGAATGATCCATTCTACTGGAATTTGATGCCGAGTTATGCACATTCTATAGTTATTTAAAGTTTTTCATTATTCTATAGAATTTTTGCGATGTTGCGGTAATTGAATATTCCTCTTCTAAGTAAACTTAACGCTTTAATTACAAAAGTTAAACAGGTGCACAAGGTGGTATTGGCGATACATGTGCATGCATTTACATGATACCCCAGGACCAACAAACATATTCTTAAGGTTAAAGTAAACCGAAGTGTGGTGAACTTCAGCCCTAGAAAGGATGGTATTTTCAAGACTTTTGGCTCCGGTTAAGTTGTACCCATATTTATTTTATTGATAAGGTTGACGCCATGAGAGCCCCCCCCCCCCCCCCAGCACACAAACAAACAAACAAACAAACAAACACACACACACACGCACACACATATACACACACACACACACTGTAGCGAGTAGTTTGCTTCGTCACTTTTCACGCTTTTTGATACCCGGCCATGGGATTTCTTCAGTTCACTTGTAAATTCTAATCTGAAAATAAGCATAATACTACAGTTGGTATTACAGTTTTAATTAAGATGTAAAATATTAAATCTCGAGGAATTAAATGCTTTCCAGCGCACAAAACATTTCGCTCGATCATATTGATCCCTCATATACAAGGATCTCTTAGAAAAACATATTAACCCCCTCAGTAAAAACCTTTGTACAGGTATAAGTCGAATGACGCACGCGCAAGGGAATCATTCGCAGGAAAGCTAGTCCTCGCCAATCAATCAAAAATTTTCAATCATGGGTTGCTAGCCTAGTAAAACTATATTATGAAGTGTTGCTGATGAAGTGTTGCTGATGGATGCTCAGAGCAGATTCCCTGGAATTCAGAGCCCACTCATCTCGGCGAGAGACACACTTCCACTTTGGAATGTAATATTTGTGTGACAAATAGTGGCCTTGGCTATAAGCCGTAAACTAACCTTAAATCAATAACCCCTCCGTGTGGGTCAATATGCACGTAGAACATTCACTCCACGCGCCACGGTTTGTTAACGTGGACCTGTGTTCCTGAGAAGCCTGGGCAAAGGAAACGAGGAAAGAAACAGTAAAATCGGGATTCTGGGGTTCTCAACAGTGAGTTTCAATCATGTAACCAAGCATGTTAAAGGAAAACGAAAGCTTTATGAAAGGGAATGCGCTGTCGTATCACGCTTAGTTTACCTCTGAATTAAATGCAATTCATGTCTGCACATAACAGTAGGAAACTGGTGCTCCATTTCGATTTACGGAACACTATTCTCGTCGCGGACTCCGTCACAAACATCAATGTAGAACAGGCTTTGAATTCCTATCTAACTGGCGTCACATGGGGGAAGGAAGACGACAAAACAGGGGAGTGGACGTGGGTCAGTGACACCCCTTCCCTGGACCCCCCTAATGAGGACTGTGTCACGTACTACAAATATCTAGAGAAGGAGCTCGTTAAAGTGCCATATGATCGTCTTCTCCTGCGACAAGCTACAGGTGACTTCACTCAGGTTGAACTAGGTCGGCGATTTTCTACTTTTTTCGACAAGCACCTCCGTCTCTTGGAGTGGACGCATGGAAAACACAGTAACGTCAAAGCTGCGTTCTACATGCATGGGACGAACGGTAAGAGATACCACTATCTTCTCCCGTCTTTCTTCAATCTCTTGTCTACTCTTTACTCACAAGGAAGAGATTTTTGCGTGGTCCTCCGAACCTATGGCATGGATGCAGCAAACGTTTTGGAGTGCATTAAACTTTTCACTGGCGGTTTACACCCTGATTTCCCACATCCACTGCCGCTAAAGGTGCATACGAAACCAGGTGCTATACTACGAAATGGTGAAAACTTCGAGCTAAAAGGCCAAAGAAATGAATGTGATGTGACTCTATCGTCTGAGGATCAAATCTATTCAATACTTAGCGAAGGTGGGGGAATTCGCGCATTTGTGGACGATTTCGCCAACTGGCAAAACCATGGGTATCATTACAGCAAGGGAAAACCTCTGTGGATAAATCTCCACGATACGTCTGTGCAACACATTCTATTTGACGACAACATCCGAGTCACAGAAGATGACAGCGTAGCGAATGTTCGATTGTTTTCGGTTGCTGACGGAAGTTTCCGAAGTCTCTCAAAGGAACATGCGTCACGTTTCCAAGACACCTGCCTTGTGCAAGCAGATCTTTTGGAGAGTATACAGAGAAGTGATTACTTTATTGAGAAAGTGAAAGCATGTGAAGATCGATACAATAATTTACTACAACAAAAGGATGTTTTCAATTCTAAAAAGCACGCAATGAAATATTCATGAGATGACATGTACGAGGAGTGTGGTTGTCAAATTGAAGTACCCTTCACAGACATATTCCCCTTAGAGTATAACTGATTTACTCTTATTTATACGGTGCATATCATGCTAAGCAAGTTATTTCAATATTTGGGTATAATTTTTAAAGGGACTGTGATGTGAGATAGGTCGTTTATCTGTGATTTCACCATATGAACGTGTTAGTACATGTACTGTGACTGTTGTTTCTTCTTTCACCAACACATTGGAAAATCTTCCACCAACTCTTTGTCTACGAGTATTCAGGAACGTGTCAATATTTACAGCTTTTGATTAAACAATACCAGTTTTAACATTCTTGGAAGGTGTATTTTAAGCCTATAGATTACATTTACACGGACGCCGTGCGATGAAATTTATCATACGGTTTTATTAATCGTAATGAGCTACGGGCTACGCCGAGTATGCCTACATTACACGGCCTTAAATCCGTAAGATTCCGTGCGATTTCGCACGGCCACCGTCTACCTCCGTTCAGACGCCGTACGAAAAGGGTATCACGGGCAGTATACGTGCACCGTACGGGTACCGCATTTCAAATGTAATCTAGGCGTAAGTGCTCCCAGAGTTTCATATGTACATGCACTGCCTTCCATGTCATTATTGTGCACATTATTAACACAGTCAGATATCTCGTAAGCGAATACGCTGACAGTAAAAGTTCTACTAGCATACGATGTTCGATTGTGTAAAATATACGTATACGTACATAAATTGGGCAAAAAATCGCCGCAACACACCTCGCACACTACTGAACGTCAAATTACAGGCGCCAGCGCACGTACTGGGTACGAAAAAACGGGAGTTCTTATGTATGAAGGTATACTATTCAGAAAGAAAGATGGGACGAGAAATCTAAGCGGAAATAAGAGAAAAATAAAGTGATTAAAAGACCTTGCGCTTCAGTTCTGAAGTCATGGAATGAATGAATGAATGAAGAAGAGAACTCCAAGTGGGTACAACTTTGGAAGGGGTAAATGATATCAATATTGCAATTATTATTTTTTCCGAACAACACATTTCTCATAACCCTCCTGAATTCAAAGTACAAAACAACCGAATTATGTTTAAAATGCCTGTCTTATGTTTCTCGTTGTATTATTAAATGAAATTTTGCCAAACTGTAATTGAGTGGACGTTTTTTCCGCGTGGTATATTCGTTAGCTATTCTATAAAATTCTTGGTCATGAAAAATGAGAAATAAAACACCGGTAAAGATAAAATTTCAATATTTTTTATTTTTAGTTTTTATTTTAAGTTCACATCAATTAGTTACTATTTATACCAGTATTCCTTGTAACACAAAAATAAGCAACATGTTAACTTTCCTCAATAATATAAATTATTGATTTAGTGTGGTTTGAAGTGTAATTTATGAAGCTGTGTTTACTACTAGGGAGGGCTCTCTTTCAAATAATCTGTAAATATGTAAATATAAGAAAACAATTTAACAGACGAGACACATTCATGGAAAGGACCTTATGAATACAAGTGCGTTATTGCCAGTTTAAACAAAAACATCCTGGGTCTAAATTGTGTCTGCAGATGACATACAACAAGAGCAGAGTTATTATTTGCAGTTCAACTGGTGAAATACATTGAACCTTTTTACAATCTAGGCGAGCTTAGTGTACTACTGGCATTAATGTCCTTTCCTTTGGTAAATTAAATGACAAATTCAGGTTAATACACATTATAAAAAACATTCCTATTTTACATTAACAAAGTATATATCATTCAACTTTCAATTTCCATATCACAACTCTGAAGTTTTTTTTCTTCCAGTAATATACTGATTGTGCTCTTGTGAAAAAGTTATTCAAATACCAGTACAACCTGCATTTATTTTGCAGGTTTTCCCTCTCATGTCAGCATCTTCATGTTAGAGGCTACATTTTCAGTAGTTTATCCCCCCCAAAAAAATATGACAGTGTGATTGCCACTGGTGGTTTTTTGTTGATGAAAAATAAGCTGATTGTTTGGAATAGTAAAACAACAACATGTAAGTCTATATATACAGTTCTACAGATATTCAGTGCAATTCTGACTTGCGACTTTTCTTTTACATATATAGGTACAGTTCTACTGTAAAAATATGATAAACAATTAACACATATGGAATCTAAGAAACATAAGCGGCCCTGCACATAAGTATGTGTGCATATGGTCACCATTCACTTTAAATAGTCTTGATGGTGCCACTCATCTTCTATTATTTCAATGTCACACCACTGCATGCTTTGACTTCAATAATAATGCTTGCACATTTTTTTTCATAAAATCTGATAGTTTTCACCACTTGAATGTGACTTTGGTACGAGTAGGCACCCAAAATATTCACTTATAAAGCACACTGCATGAAGCTGGCTGCACATATCCATCGCACCAACACAATACTCTGTAATACAGATCTCATGGTTATATCTATTTCAAACATCATTATAAAATATATTTCAACAATATAATGTACTAGTATAATTACATAGTAAAACACAATTAACATTATTACAATATACAGTTTATCTTGACAGATATCCCTATCAAATATGATACAATTTTCTTGTCAGTAAGTAATATTGTAAACAGTCAATAAAACATTTCTCAACACTTATTCATCTTAATTTCAGCTATATTATAATTATCTTAATAGTCAGTTTAATGTTTATGCTAATAAATATAGGTGCAACTGTTGTAAAATTAGTAAGTCTTTATAACTTGGTTTTTACTTGTGTGCTACAGTAACAGATCCCATGGCAATGATGGCATTCACATCACTCTTCATACACAGAAGACCTGAAAAATGTATATGCTGATCACCTGCACCATTCACTTCAACTGCATCTCATAATAAATACTACAAACTTTATGATGCACTCTATCTAAAAAGAACGGCTGATTCATGCCCATTCTGATGACAAAAGTCCTTTCTGTTTATACTTCTGTCAAAACTTTTTTACCAATACAGTGCCAGTGCTAATTTTATATTCACTGTAGTTTTGACCAGGCTGGGCATTTTATCTGAGACAAGCAGAAAACAATAAATCTTATTTTTTACACAATTCACCTGTGTATTTTTCCATTATTTTCATATTCCCTACAGAGACATGCAATATATTATTTACTGCTCATCCTGGGTCAAAAATGTTCGAGTCCAAGGATGAAAAGAGACATGCCCACTCTGATGCTGCCTAAATACCTGTTTACATATTAAACTACCTTTCTGGTCAAGCCACCACTCTTTTTATCAATAACTTGATGTCAAGATAATCTTCTCAAAATATAATCTTAGATTACATAGTTATTATAACACATACAAGACACAATAAACACTACACAAGAAAAGTTTGTAAAAATCTACTTGCTACAGGTATGAGTTTCCATGGGGCAAGATACTTCTTATTAGCTTAAATTAATCATCAAACTGCTTCCTCTGCTCCACATCAATTTCAAATTCAAGAAATACAGCCATAGTTCTATCAGAACTACATTAATAAATACCAGTTTAACTATAACAGTTTATAACACAGTTCCTAAAAGTGACACTTTCTTCAAGACGCCAGAAGAGGGTTTGTGAAACTGAATCCCTTGAAGACCTCTTGATTCATGGTCTTAAGCAGTTCTTTGTCAGGTGGCGTGAAATATGCCCTTTCCATGGTAAAATCTGTATCAAAATTTCCTACGTCTGAAGCAGATTTCTGAAAAAATAAAACAAAAAGATGGCATACTGAACAATGGCATAGTAGCAGTTGTTGCTCTCCATATTTTCCTAGAAAACAAAGGTTAAACAACCACACACAATCTTTCAGTTACGTTTTATAAAAACAGCCTGCAGTACATTGCATGGAGTACATTGCAGAGAAAGTAACTTTCTCAATAACACATGAAAAATAGTTGTCTTTGTAAAATTTAAATTCACACTAGCAAGATATGACCCACAGAAGCTAGCATACAAGCTAGTACATGTACAGTGCCAAACAACCTGTATTGTGATCTTGTTGTATATATTACTGCTACAAAACATATTTCTCAGTAAATGAAATATTACAATAATTATTGTAGTGTCTAAAAAAAGAAAGTCTGCTTACCACTTTAGGTTTGAAAGGAGGGTCTATCTGTCGTCTCTCCAGCTTGTCAAAGTCTATCACTTTAAAGAACGGCTGGTCCCTGATTGCTCCTCTGGGGCAGGCAGGCATACCAAGCCTTTCTTGTGGCGCTCGTTCAAACAGCTGAAATAAATAATTGATCCAATTTTGTAAAACAGTACTGTAACAATTTAATTATTCATTTAACTGTTAACTACAACCTCTCGCTACTTTCTGATTGTTAACTTATTGTGAAATTTTGTAAGCCACCTTGCATGAGAAAAATAAATTGAAATCTTTCACTTATGAGCCTAAAGACTATTTTACTTAACTGTCCCTTTATAATTCAAGTTATTTCAGAAATGAAATGTGATGATGGTATGTTTTACATCTAGTCAGAACCTTTAAGTGTATTCTTCTTATGTAAATAAGTAACTATGATGTAAAAAGACAGAGTTTAACTTGGTACATGTATATTATAAGAAGGAATTTTTTATCATTATGTTCAGTACCATGGATCATGACAAACCACATACCAGGCTTAGACATGAAGCAGCATCCTTGTTCAGCCAGCGTGGATAATGTGGGGTGTCATGACAAATGGAATGGAACAGATCATCCTCATCATCTCCATGGAAAGGAGACTGACCAATCATCATCTCGTACAGCAGGACACCAAATGACCACCAATCCACAGAGTAATTGTACCGATGTCCTTTCAGAATCTGAAATAGACAACAATTCAAAATTTTAAAGACACAATTTTGCACAGCCATGGAGTTTAATTAAGAGTAATCCAAACTGTTTTTGCAAAGTATTCTCGGTGCATTCCTGGTGATTTTTAGAACAAAAAATCATCTAAAATTAATTCCTTTACAAATAAGTAGCCATTGCCTAATGAACATTACACTTATCAGTGGAAAAATAAAAGAGATATTTTCTTTGAACTGTCATTTATTTATATACACTTCTTTTTTCAAACTTATAGTAACATCTTTATTACATATAATATTTTCTATGAAGTGTGGGCAGAGACAGGAATCTCTCTCTACAATGTACATGTGGAGAGGTCTTCCTGTCCATTAAAGAAGCTGAAACTCTACACTCTATCAACAGAAATACCTCGGGAGCAATGTAGTCTGGAGTGCCACAGAAAGTGGATGCCTTATTGTCTGGAGAGATATTTTCCTTGCACATGCCAAAGTCGGCAATCTTCACATGTCCATCTTTGTCCAGTAGGACATTGTCCAGCTTGAGATCTCTGTACACTGTACCACATCTGTGGATGAACTGGAGGCCACACAGAATTTCTGCAGCATAAAACCTGAAGAGGACCAAGACAGTGTTCAATACCAAGAATCCATTACTGAAAGCATGCCATCAAAAATGACAGAATATTTGTTGCAAGATACAGGGCAGGGCCTCACTATGCATGTAAACCAGAGTGGGGCCTGTAGATGTAAAGACTTCTACAAGCAGGGCCTAGCTATATTTCACATGTAGTTAAGTCTTTGTGTGTGATCTATACATGTACTAGTACATTGTATCATATTATCATTGTGCTACTTCTACTCCTGGCAATCAGTGGCTGTGTACCCTCACACCCTCACTTCACCCTTACCTAGCTCTTTCTGTGTCAAATCTCCCAGCGGCCTGGATGTGAAACATCAGATCTCCTCCATTTAGAAACTCCATTACAAAGAATAAGTGACTCTGAAATTCAAAAGAACATATTGAATTCTAACTTATTTTCGATTCTAACAGTATAATGCCTCTTTTCATGCAATTTATGTGCAATTAATTATTCAAATATACAGCAAACTTGACTACAGAGCGTTGCATGTATACCTGGTTAAAGCTTTGTCCAACAGCATTATAATTCATTGCAAAGCAACATTATACTTATATTCACATAATTATGAACAATCAAATAAAAAAATAAAAAAATTGTAAAGAACCCTGTGTTATATTGAGTTGTACATACAGATTAATCAAATATTGACATATATCTCTGCATCTACCTTAATTTATATAAATGTCAATGAAAAGATTTTCCATTATATCTTGTATATATATGGAAAATAAGATTTAGTAAAAAGCTGAAACAGTAAAAGTTGATAAACATGCCTTACACATGAAGAAATGCTATATTTTTCAAACAATTTACTTTTTTTTACACCTGTATCACCTACCTTTGACTGGAATGTACTGTGTAAGTGTGTTAGGAAGGGGTGCTGACTCCCAGCTGCCAGGACGCGCCGTTCAATCATTGTACACTCCACATCATCATCCATCAAAACAACGTCCTTCTTCAGTGCCTTGACAGCATAATACTGTTTTGTCCCCTTCAACTCAGCTAACATCACCTACAGAGACAGAGGATGAAAATAAAATTCATTTTGTGGAAATCTTTGAAAATATAAGCCAGATATGGAGGCTATCTTTATGCAAGTCAGAGCAAGCAACTTTTTATGGAAACTGTGGCTGACATTCTGTCACTCTTTGATTAAACCATATTTTAACCCTGTTCCTAAAGTCTTTACTTTTTGTCATTTTTTTTTTTTGGGGGGGGGGGGGGGAACAAAAGATTTTCAGATGAAGTTTTCCATTAATTTATGACAGAAATGAACCCAAATGGTAAAAACAATCTTGTTTATAAATAGCAAGCAAGAGATTGGAATACTGGGGGTGTGATGGCACCTCTGTGCAGTGACTTCAATGACAAAAGGGGGTTGAGTTGGGGGTGGGGGGAGGGTCAGGGGTCTCCTGATCCAACTCCCTCCTTCAAATTTATTTTGAATGCATGCATGTTCCTCACAGCTATTTCTCCCTACCCCTCCCACTGCAAAACCCAGCAGTGTGCAGAGTCCATGCTTACCTTGCCAAAGCTCCCCTTGCCCAGCACTTTAAGGAACACAAAGTCTGTGGGTGAAAACTTCTTCTCTGGCTTTGATGGTGGTGGTGGCCGCGGAGGAGGAAGGCCATCCTCTCCCTGCACACCAGGTGGCGGTTCCCAGATAGATTCATAAGCATAATTATCATCATCGGAATCTTCGGAAGATTTCTGTGCCAGAGAAAAATAAAGACCAAGCTGTGCATTACAATACAGTTCATGCAGTGATGTGTGATATGGAGTGTAGTGGATGTCCTTGCTGCTAACTGACTGGGGTAACAACACATTACACATAACAGAAGATATGGAATATTTTGTGAAAACAGAGAATCAGATACACAAGGACAGAGACATTTCCTTCGTGCATATGGCCATTAATTTCAATTGCTAAGGCTCTGTATATTTATAATATAATAAGCATTTTTTAACACAAAACATTTTCCCATTTGTCTTGCTCCAATCAATTAGTGATATTAAAGTTTAAATTATGAATAATATCTTATTAACTATGAAAAAATATTAAAGTTAAATAACAGTACTTCAGTATACATATACTCTAATTTGATGTAAACCAATGAAAAAGGAGCAAGTCCAATTAGTAAGGCTGTTGTCATACAAGTGGACAGGTTCTCCAGTGGTCATGTCCAACTGACCACTTTGGTTATCATTGTCCACAAGTACCATATCATCTTTGCCACTGTGATGTTGTGTTCCCATTAAAGTTGAGTCCATCAAGCTCATTGCGACCCATCCAAGTAGGTCATCTAATTACAATTAACTCATATAAAGGAAATCTAATTGGATTTGGTGCATATGGTGAGCTAACCAAGGCCAGATGGCATACTGAGATAGGCCGGTTCAAGTGGAGTAGAGACACGACATGTAGACCCTAAACAGGAATGGCCCAACTAAACCATTTTATGAATATGATATCCTTAATAAAAGTTGAGTTAGGAATGCACTTAAACATTCTCAGTCAGCCGGCCCACTGTGCTCTCTGTTGATCTCTGGGATCATATTTTAGACAGAGCACTGCTGTCTAGAGCAAATAGGACTGAATTGTAATAGTTGATGTCTAACATGACAACTACCAACATATGGTATTCACAATCAAATAAAAGAAAAATTAAATAAAAGACCTTTTCTATCCAGATACAACTTAAGCTGAAATTCTGACTGTGATGTGCATAAACTTTAACAACTTAATAAAAAGAGACAGTACAACTTCCACTCTATTCTGTACACCATGCAACTGAAACCAGCTCCAATGCCACTATATATTTACTTCAATTAGTAATCTTTAAAAAATTAATGTTAAAAAATAATAAAAATAAATATGTGATGTCATTCCATATTTCCTCCTTAACCAAATAGTCCTACCTTATTACCAATGACAAGGTATTAATGAATTAGTGATAAGCCCAGCAAAAGCCAATGAGATACAAAAAGGCCTTTCATAAACTTAACATGAAATGCTTCATCTAACCATTTTTGAATACGTATGAAATATTATACAAACAAAATCATATGTCTCAACTTTTCATCCTCTACAAAAAAAAAAAAAAAAAGCAACACAAGGTCAGCAGTGTGCCATGGCATATGATGTGTTTTAAAATAATCATATTCACCTACCGTAGTTGAGGTAGTCTTATGATTTTTTGTTGACTATCAAAGCAAGGGAAAAAAAGAGAATATCTCAGAATAAAAGAAGAAGGACAGAGTTCTATTCAAATATTTTTCACTTTCTTAAGAAATAAAGAAAAGTCTAAACATATATAGAAATGAAAGTAGACATTTAAAAAAATTCCAGAAAATGCAAGTACTGAAGGCATGCAGCTCTATACAAAAGATCAGGGGGCAGAAATATATCACCCAAATATCTTTCTTTCCAAATAAATCTGGAATACTTCCATCAGTGCATTGTGCATGCATGGTCTCAAATTTGGGTATTTAATGCACATCAATGGCAAATATAGGTCAATAACAGAAGTGACCAGATATTTCCATGGGGAAAATTAACAATCTTTCAGACATACAAATTGAGAATGATTAAAATATATTCCTACATAGCAATTACTGAGTTTTTAATGTGCAGAATAAAACTATAAGGTATATTACTTTTCAATTTTGTTGCTAACACTCAATAGACATTTTTTTTATCTTATGAAGTAAAATTACAATTAAAAATTATACATGAAAAATCACATTTTCCCCATTGAAAAGATTGAGGGTTGGAATAGAGGTTTGATATTTTCTTTTGTCTGCTAGCACAGTTAATATGGATAAATTGGGGATTGCCCTGTTATTTTCCTTCATACTGATTGCAGAATATCAAGCAATATTGCCTTGTGTTTTAGAGCTATATTTAAGAGCCCATACTTAATTAAACTGGTAAATGTAAATATTATACAAGGAAGTATATGCATGCTTTGCATGTGTGTACTGATCAACTAGGTCAGCTATCGTACCTGGTCCTGTGCGGAGCTGCTGACTGATTTAGTGGAGGCTCCTGGCTTCACCTGCTTCAGGGCCTCAGCCAACATCTTCTGATTGACACCGCACAAGTTTGCTATCAACTTTTGACATTTCTTGTGACAATTAGTACCACAAGCTGCAAGTAAGGGGAATAAAAGTTAATAAAAAAACAAATGGTGAATAAATATTCTATTTGGATTGGTCAATGATGTCACAAGTATAAGAAATTATTATATCAACAGGGCTTCAAACTTTCCCATTCTAATAACTCAACACTTGAATGTCAATTTACCCCACTATGAATTACTTGTATAACTAGTTATAC